CTGTCCCGGCCCCAGCCGCTCTCCCAGGCCCCTGCCCCGGGCTGCTTCCCACCATGCCCTGGCTCCCCTGTCGTCTGCTGGCCTCCCGGACCGGTCCTTGTCGGGCGCTGGGGTTGCGGGCGCCCCCCCTCCTAGGTGGTGGTGACTGCTGGCTTTGCTCCGGGGTCGGCGGCGGCTCTGGCTGCAGCTGCAACTGCTGGGCCGGCTGCTGCAGAAACACTGAGGGGGGTGCGGCCTGACCTCCTCCTTCCCCGAGCTGCCCTCCTAACTGCAGGGCTCTCTCCACTGGCTGGGCCGGCTGCTGCAGAAACACTGAGGGGGGTGCGGCCTGACCTCCTCCTTCCCCGAGCTGCCCTCCTAACTGCAGGGCTCTCTCCACTTTTATACTCTGGCTCTGCTGGGAGCAAGCCCCGCAGAGCTGGATGGGCGGGGCCTTCTCAACCAGCTGGGCCTGGGCTACTCTCTTCAGTGTGGGGCCTGTCTGCCCCATCACACATCCCCAACACCACTCCACCCCAAGTCCTCCTTTCTCGAGGGTCCCCCTTTTCCAGGACTCCCCTCCCCCCGCCATGGAGGGACTGCAGTCTAAGGGTATGTCTACACTAGCCCCCTAATTCGAACTAGGGAGGCTAATGAGGGCAACCAAAATTGCAAATGAGGTGCATGTTCCCGGGTGGTCGCCATTTTGGAAACTGACTAGCTTGGAATAACTGCCCGCGTTTACACGTGGCAGTGAAACGAGAGTTCAAAGTAAACCCCTTAACTCGAATTAGTTGTTAAACCTCATTCCATGAGGAGTAATAGCTAATTCGAGTTACTCCTCGAGGAATGAAGTTTAACAACTAATTCGAGTTAGGGGTTTACTTCGAACTCCCGTTTCACTGCCACATGTAGATGCGGGCAGTTATTCTGGACTAGTCAGTTTCCAAAATGGCGACCACCCGGAAACATGCTAATGAAGCGCAGGATATTTAAATCCCGCACCTCATTTGCAATTTTGGTTGCCCTCATTAGCCTCCCTAGTTTGAATTAGGGGGCTAGTGTAGACATACCCTAAGAGTACTTTACCTCCATGAGGAGGGCCCTCACAGTGGACTTCCCCACGCCAAACTGGTTGCCCAGTGACCAGTAACTGTCTGGGGTGGCGAGATTCCATACAGTGATGGCGACCCGCTTTTCCAGGGCGGTGGCAGGCCGTAGGTGGGTGTCACGTCGTCGGAGGGAAGGGGCAAGCCAGGCACACAACTCCAAAAAGGTGGCCTTCTGCATGCAGAAGTTTTGGAGCCACTGCTGGTTGTCCCACCACTCCATAACCAGCCAGCCCCTCCAGTCGGAACTGGTGTCCAACCTCCAGAAACACCTCTCCACTGTGGGTTGCAGTTGCAAGGGTCTTGCTCCCACACCCAGGCAGAGAGTCTCAAGAATGAGACTGGGGTCAAGCTCAGTCAGGACCAGGAAGGCGGACAGCACAAAGTGCTGCAGAAACTGCAGCATGCCCAGGGGCAGTTCCAGCTCCATGGAACAAAGGAAAAAGCTGTGGCATCCAAAAAAGCTGGGCAACCAAAGCAGATACTGCAAGAGCTTTGCTGTCCCTCAAAGACATAGGCAAGCACACAGCAGAAGCAGAGCAACAGCTCTCTAGGGAGGTCCCTTTAGCTAGGCTCTGGCACCAGAAGCAACTAGTGACCAAAAGTCCTGCCTGAAGTGGTTCCCGGTGGCCTTATATGCGAGATAGTGTTCAGACTGATTGGACGCTATCTTTCGACAAAGCAGACCACTTTTTCGATGCACTTTTGTGTGTGGACACTCTCTTTCGGAAGAAGTTTTTTGGGAAGATCTCTTCTGGAAAAGCTTCTTCCGAAAGAAGCCGTTAGTCTAGGACGTAGCCTCATATCTTCAGAAAACTCCATCTGGTGGGCATGAAGTGCATTTTCTTATAGAAAAGTCCCTTATGGTGGATGAATAAAATATCAATCTTACATTATTGCTTATAGTTATTAATGTTTGTCAAGATTTCAGATGTTTGCTTTCTGACGTGTTAAAATTATTCCAACATTTTGGACAATGTGCTGTTCTTAACTTCTCACCAACCTAGCAGCTGTGTGAAATTTTTAAAAACTAGATTTTCATCCTAGTGCCATATGAAATGTCTCCAGTAATCTTAAATGAGATGATTCATATTCTAAATGGGCAACGTTCTTTTAATAGTTTCTCTTAATAATTTCAAGTTTGTAATTTTTGAACAGAACAATTCTCATGAACATATCAAAGAAAATACTTAAAAGCTTCAGCCTTTATTTTTAATGTTCTACTACTGACTTCCAGGGTGCTGTATTTATTATTAATGTTTTCTGTGAATTAGTACTATTCAAGCCTAACCAATAAGATACAACTAGCTGATACTTCAAGGAAAGATTATTTTATGGTAGAGGAAATCTTGGTTTCCTGACTATCACAGTGTGCTTGCATGACCTTAGATTGTTATCTGTCTGTGTTTCAATTTCCCAACTATAAAATAGAGATAATAATACTCCTTGACTCCCACTCTTGTCTTTTTAGGTTGTAAGCTCTCTGAACTAAAGATTATATGTGTGCATATTGGGCTAACATGATTGGGCTTCATTAACATTGACAGATAATTCTCCTGCTGATATTTTATATATATATATA